TTTTTTTAGTTAGTTCAAATTAATATTCTATAGTTTTTGAGGGTAAATCACCGTATAAATACCTAATTTTTTAATTAAAATTTTAATAAATATCTAAACTATGAAATTCTATATAAATATTTGAACTTTTTAAAAAATTTATATAAATATCTAAATTTTTAAAAAATTTCCAAATAAACTCAAGTTTTAAATATTTTTTAAATAAAAATAGTCAACGTAATTAATTAATTTTGGTTTTATTTAGAATTTTTTTTAGAATTGTGAATATTCTTATAGGATTTTTAAAAAATTGAGATACTTATATAAAAATTTTATAATTCACATATTTTTATTTATTCAACCAACTTTTTGTAAAACTTTAGCTATTTATATACGATTTTTTATAACTTAATAATATATAGTTATTGTATAGGTATACGTTATTGTCCACGTATTGATTTATACATTTCCATAATATGTGCATAATATGTATGTATGTATGTATATATGTATGTATGTATGTATGTATGTATGTATGAGAGAGAGAGAGAGAGGGGAATCGTATAAGATTTGGAGTTGACGAGCAATGAATTATATTCCCGGCCTTAACTAGTTTTAACAAAGCACCAAGTGATTAAATCTACACAAAATCTTTATTTTATTTTAGTTTTCTTGAAAATATCTTCCATATCTTAACGTTCATATTTCTTTAAACTTTTAAGTATCGTCAATTTTTTTTTTAAAGACGTTATAATTTTCCAAAACTGGGAATCTATATGAATTGCAGTTATATAACTATGTAAAATATTCGTTTTCTAAAAATTTAGTGTATTTTTTTCCATTTTTTCCTCTGTTTTCGTGTACGTATTTTCCAAATAAGCGTCTTTTTTTAAAAAAAAATTAAAGAGATCGGATATGGAGAAAACAAAATGTAGTCCAAGATAAAAAGAAAAAAAGATTCATTAAAACATATTTTTAATAATCATTATTTGTATCCTTCAAATCAGAAAACCAGTGTCTGAAAAACGATGAGGGCTTTATCTTTTCTGCGTCTTATGCGTATCGAGAGAAGACAAGCAAGATTCAGTTTGTCCAAATTTCATTGTATTTTTCCTAATTGTCGTATTTACTTACATATATATGATATTGGGTATTGAATAATATGCACACATATATAAGATATATATATATGCATGTTTGTGTATGTAGAGATGGTCACTTGGCTCAATGGAGGACAGAGCCCAAGAACACTGCACTAAAACCTTGGGGTTTGTCTTTGCCAATCCAAAGGATTCTCTCTCTCTCTCTCTCTCTCTCTCTCTCTCTCTCTCTCTCTCTCTCTCTCTCTCTACATTGGATCTTCAATTCTCGTCTTCCCCATGCAACCTCACGCGCCACTCACGCGCTCTTTTATTTTTAATTTTATAATTGACCAAATTAATAGTATAACTAGTTTTCTCGTATCGAAATAATCCGTACATGGAAAGATATTTTTATACATTCAATCTCCTCATGACTTTGAAAGGTCGAAGTGGACCGACCTTAATCATATGTATTATGATAAAATTCCAAAACATTTTTCTTAATAATCTAGTGAATAAAATCCTTGTTATTCTATGCCTTCAAAACAATAGGGAAATGGAATGTGGCATACGTGTGTATATGTGTATGTATATATGTATGTATAGATTTATCATTGAATAATGTAGACAGCGAGAACCAAATAGTCAAAGGCCAAGGATATTAACAAAACTCCATGATTTTATCGATTACATTTCCTTTTTATTTACAACAAAAAAAAAATCATGATTTTTTGTGTGTCGACGTTTCATTGCATAAATTATAGGATAATAAAATGTTGGAGTTTTTCTTTTTAAATTAAATGAATGGAGATATTTTTATAAGTTACTCTCCAATTTGTTTACAAAACTTACATATATTTATGGCTTTTTTAAAATGTTACAAGTTTTTCAATCCTATAAATAGGAGGATTGTTTTCATGTTTTAGACACAACAAGAACATCAAGTTTAACACAAAAGCTTTCTACAAAAGAAAGAAAATCATCTTTTTTCCTTTGTGATTCAAACCGAGCTTTGAGTTCGACAAGGCACCGGAGTTTGAAGTACCACTGTTCCGGTGAGGTACGTCCGTCCTATCCTGGGAGGATATATTCCATTAACCGTAGGTACCGCGCGGGGAATAATTTCTTTAAGGAGACACGGTTCGCCGTGGGTTCGGATTTGGTTTTCCGGTTTTAAAACAAAAATCATATTGATATAATGATGTTGGTTTGAACATAACTTTCTATACCGTTATCGGAATTGCATGTTCTTGATATCGTTTCGTAGATATCAAAATTATCTTTCTAATGGTGTATAACATGGATGATTTGGTCGTATGTTCTGAAAGTTATTAAACTTGGACAGTCTTGGTATGAAATTGAAAGTTAACTATGTATGAATATGAGACATATAAAATAACACACCCAACATAAAACCGTCTGTGTTTAAAAATAAAAAAAATTAATCATATTATTTCCAATTTTTTTTTTATTTGGATGTAAAATACATATTGGAAACAATGGAATATATAAGGAAAAGTTATTTCATTTTTACCAACATGTTTTTTTGTGTGTAGCAGCTCAGGGAACCAAGTGTCCGTATTTATGACATTTTTTTCATAGTAGAGGGCATAAAATGTACTCATTAATATTATCATTATTATGCCGTAACTCTGTGTCCAACAAGGTAGTTGTTTGATTTGTCAAGTTAGCTAAAATAACATTAAATATAAAAAAATTAATTACGTTTCAAATATGGAATTTATCAAGATATGCGAATCGATAAAATAATTTTGAACAATTATTCTAATTTCATTAGGGATCTTTTGGGACCATATTATTCGTATGGTGTATGCCTATTTGAGTTATCTAATTATTTATATTGACACATTTTATTTTATATACTTTTAAATAAATAAATAAAAATATATATATATATATATATATATATATATAAATTGTTATAAATTATACAACATTAACATTCTTAATGTACCATAAAAGGTGTTTTTAGATAACGGGAATGAATTCGCATTTATGATTAGATTTTAACACTAGACTAAAGAAGCAATAAACTAATATTATGAGTTCATTAGTGTTAATAAACAAATAATTAAAGGAGAGATTATGGGGAGAGTACGGAAAATGATGTAATTAGATTATATAATAAAGGTAGTCGTAGAAAAACTATACAATATAAATTAAAAGTTGAATTAATTAGGGCGTACACGAGGGGACGTGGACATGTGATTGACCAAAGAAAAAGAGAGCATGCGTTACACCTTTTTTTTTCTCTACACATTTTGTGTATAATGTGAATATTTCGACCGACCGGTCAAGCTTTCTATTCATTTTTAGTTTTTGGGCCCCACGTGCATGTTCAATTACAAAATCGGTAAATTTTATACTACAGAGAACGAACATCCATTATGAAAATTTAAAATGTAAACAAATAAAATAAGATATTTTGAGAGGTTTCAATCACTTAATTTGCATTTATTAGAAAGACATGCAAGCATGGGTCATTTAATTAAACTTATTAATACGTTAAAACTTTGATTTAGTGTAAATATTTTTTTTTAAAAAAATACAAACTATATTTTTTTTAAAAAAAATACAAACTATTCTACGGAAACTATATAATCTCAACGGCTTGAACAATTTACGCATTAAAACTCAAATAAAACAAAAAAAAACTATAATTAGTTTGGATTTTGGAAGGCTTAGAATTAAGTTAGTCCTGTTGTTGATTACAGTAATTTTAATGGTCCTTCGTGATGCTGATTATTTCTGTAACGAAAATTAATTACGAACGAATCTATACAGTAACACAAATCCAACTACGTTTTTAAATTTTTTTATATGAACAAAATTTACAATTAAATTGGTAAAAATTTTAACATTTTATATAAATCCAATATTTTTGTAAACTAATATAGAAAAATGAAGGGTGGAAAAGTCGACTTAAATATTTGGTAAAAAAAAAGTAAAAATATCATCTACATATATATTATGATTTTATACGTGAGTCAAATAAAATACTACGTGCATATATAATAACTAATAAAAAAAATAGTGTCTTCGAGTTTTATCACTTAATTGTTCCATTAATTCTAAGAGAAAAGAAAAATTAGAGCACGCAATATCGAAACAGAAGATTTTATTTTGAAACGATTAAAAAAAAAACAAATTTTAGAAAAGCGTGGAGCACACGCGTGTGAGGATCGCGTGAATGGAACAAAAAGAGGAGAAAAAGGCTAGAGACGTACCATGACTGAATTATAAATGGCGGCGAATCCTAGGTTGCCCGCCACGTTATTACTAGCTGTTAAAATCGTATCACTTAATATCTAATTTTGCCGTTTAATCTCTAATCAAAATGATTTAAATTTTTTTCCATTTATGTACCCATTTGTTAAAAAACGACGTGGAACATTAATTCCTATTTGGTAAAAAAAATCAATATGTTTTGATTAAAATATCATCGATGACTACTTTTCATTGTATATTAGACTAGACCTATGGTCAAAGCTAGTGATAACTAAAATTTAATATTATTGTATGAAAATAAAAGGGGTAATTAAAAATAATCTGACTGATTAAAGTGAAATAAACCGGAGCCGGGTATCTTGGGGGGATCACGTGACGAGAGTCGCAGACTTCGAGACTGGAACCCACGCGCTGAGCCAAGTCCATCTAGACACGTGTCATTACACCATTCGCTCAAATGTATGCGCTTCCCGCATTGTATTATAGTGTTTGAACACCTTTTGTAATTACCGATACTACCCCTAATGTTTCGACATATTTACGGAAATGTCCCTGTGGGAACGAGAAAGGGGGAAAGTGAATCAAAATGCAAAAATAATATCAGCATTTTAAATAATTATTTTCATTATTTACTAATTTCAGCTAAACCGGAGAGATCCTATAAAGCAGGGTTTGAAGAGTGAGCTTGAGATGGTCTCTTCACTCTGAACAAACACTGTTCCCTAAATCTTCACTTTTGAAATCCCGTGTTTGTCTTTCATTTCTGGTTTCATCTCTCTTCCTGTTCTGTTTTTGCAGAGATCTTGTCATCGCTTTGATCTCTTCTTTCACTGTTTTGTTTCTGAGACTTCTTTGATGCGAATATAACACAAAAAGAAGAAGTTGATGATGATGTCGGAGTATGTGGATGTAAAGTACACGGAACACAGAGCCCTTGTCACAAAGTACGCGAAAACGTCGCCGGGGAAACTCCGGTCGGAATCGAGGATGGTTCGAATCTCCGTGACCGATCCGGATGCCACCGACTCATCCAGCGACGAGGGTGAGTCCCTGTTTCCTCGTCGGAGGGTGAAGAGGTTCTTAAACGAGGTCAGAGTGGAGCCAAGCTGTGTCGGTAACCACTCCGCTTCAGTTCCGGCGAAGGCACGGAAGCGGATGGCGGTGGAGACGCCGTCGTCGCCGGTGAAGGTTTCCATTAACTCCGGCGGGAGGAAGTTCAGAGGCGTGAGACAGAGGCCGTGGGGCAAGTGGGCGGCGGAGATTCGTGACCCTGATCAGCGGCGGAGGATTTGGCTCGGGACTTTTGACACGGCGGAGGAAGCCGCCGTCGTTTACGACAACGCCGCGATTCGCCTCCGTGGACGCGACGCACTCACAAACTTCGTCGTTCCTCCGGCGATGAGACGGGACAAGTCAGAACCAGAGAAGCCGGAGACTAACAGTTCGACGGCGGTGGCGACGACGTCGTCGAGTTGCGAATCCTCCGACGAGTCTCTTAATCATCTCTCGTCTCCGACATCGGTTCTCAACTTCAGAACACATTTGTCCGAAGAAGCCGAACCGATCACAAAACCGGCCCCACCAGTTAAACCGGAGATGCCTGAATCGCCGTGGTTCCCGGATGAACCGGTCACAAAACCGACCATTCCAGTTGAATCGGATATGCCGGAAGCACCGTGGTTCCAAGCTGGAAAAAGTATATCTGTCTCTTCCGACGATTTGTTGCCGCTGGACATTCCATTTCTCGACAACTTCTTCAACGAGCCACCGGAGATTTCCATTTTCGACAAACCCATGCCGGAGATTATGCCGGAAAATGATTTCTTCGCCCATATGTTTTTCGACGGAGGCATTAACATCGGAGGGTCCGATCCTTTACCGGAGTTTAATCTCGACGATATAAACGATTTCGAAGATTTATTAGTAATGCCCGAACCCTTAAGTGCTCTATGAGTAACTTAGACCGGCGATGTTTCAACGGCGGTCGGTTTTCCGATGACAACTATGTCCGGCGAGAGGAATTTTGCGAGGAGCTATAACCGGATTTTTTTCTTGGGAGGTCGCATTTGAGTGTTTTTGTTTAATTATTTGTTTTTGGAATAATTTAATTTTTGTAAACCGCTTGTAAAAAACAGTTTTGGAAGAAAAAATAGTTTAAATAATTTCAAGTCGCATCAGTCTTGCTCTTTATGTTACTAGTTGGACGAACGTGTTTAATTTTAATTATATTATAATAAATTAATCAAATTAAGGAGAGTAAAAAAAAATCCTGAGTGGCATTCTCTTTGTCACGGCCACACGAGGAGGCGCAAATCTCGGCCGTGGCCGGTGGGCGGTGGACCGAGTAGTTTGGGTCATTGACTCAGTCGGTGACGTTTTTGTCTTGGGCTTTAAAAAGTGAATATACATATCTAGACACTTATATATATATATATATATTTGTATATATTGGAAAATTCGGAAATTAACCTATAATTTAGTCCTGTTTTTTGTGGAGTTTGCTTCAACCAAAATACCATGAACAAAATTATATATATATATATATATATATATATAGTTGATGGAATAAGCAAAAAGTAGCAATTATTATGTCACTAACCATATGATATAATTATTTCCAAGATATGGAGATTAAATATGAGTACCAAAAGTATCACCTTATTCAAATAAGAACAATAAAAATAACAATAGTAAATATTATTTGCCTCCTTCCCGACATGATGGGAACACTCAAATTTTACATGCTTCCACCATTATTATGTTATATTTCTACTTCAACCAAATACAATTTTTTAAAATAAATATTTTTTTTTTAAAATTCATTTGTAAATAAAATAGGGATAGAACTCAAATTAAATAGAATAAATCAGAAAAAAATCTAATAAAAATTCCAAAAATATTGAACTTGCTATGCAATTGCCGTGTCCAACCTTAGTTGCCTGTTTGCCGTTCGGTAACATTGACATTTATACATTTAGACAAAATTAAGGAAAAGGGAAGAAAGTTCATTTGAAAATTCGGTCAATGTCGGGGGAAAGTAGGTGACACATTACATCTGTCATATAATTTCTACATGGAAAAAGATTGTGCTAATTAAAATGCTTCGCAATGTATTTATTTTATTTTATCACATTCTTAATAATAATAATAATAATAATAAATAAAGAAATAAAGTAGCAATTTGCTTTCGTGACGTGACGACAGGGACATGTCCGAACAGAGTTACCTCCGAGACAGAGACATACGTCGCCTCTGTTCGGTCCAAAATTTATATAACTTTTAATATCATATTGTTTAATGTTACATATTGACATTTACTATCCACAATATACACTATACGGTATAAATCAATGGGAATTTTAACGATGTTATTTTTATTATACTTATTTTTCATGTATTCAGGGCCACCGCTCCACTCGACCCATGAAATGATCACCGCTATGATTACTATAAAACAAATAACATATATATTTTTTTATTTTTTCCTGAAATCAACATGTCATACCTGAAATTCAGATAAAATTATTTTTAACTTAAAAGCCTCAAATAATTAATATTATCACATCATAAAAAAAATCTTCAGATGTGCGTTTCCTATGGAGTCATAATTATCTGTAGAGGTGGGCGTTTTGGGAAACGGTTCGGTTTCGGGACGGAAATGGATCGGTTCGGTTTTTTCGGTTTTACAAAAATAGGTACTAATCGGTTTTTATATTATGTTGGTTCGGTTTGGTTTCGGTATCGGTTCGGTTCGGTTTCGGATTTTATTAAGAAAATATATTTCCTTTAAAAATATTCGGTTTTTCGGGATTTTTTAAAGTTTGGTTCGGTTCGGTTCCGGAAAAATTCGGTTCTCTAAAAATAATACCGTTCGAGAATTAAGAACGGTTTCGGTTTGGAAAAAATACCGTTTTTTCGGTTCGGTTCGATCCGGTTCCGAAGAACCGAACCAAAACACCCACCCCTAATTATCTGCATCTACATATATCTATTCATGCGTGCATTTGTGTTAATATCATTTATATTTGTATATATATACACACCGACACATGTGTAACATGTGTATATATGTATGTATCTATGGCATGCATTGCTTGAAGATATCTTAAATTAGTTAGACATATGAAAGCTACGTAGCCTAGGATCATAATGTTTCTGCATCACGTGAGGCTTTTCAAGGTTGTTTTATTTATTTTTATCATAATTAATTATTTTATGTTACATGCATATATATATATATATATAAGTTTTCCTTTTTGGGTATCGAGATACAGGCAAATGCAAGTTGTAACCATAATAATTTTATTTTTCTAAATTAACTTTTTTAGTTGTCAAAATAATATGGTTTGGATTAGTGGTTTCCATAGTTCTTCACTTCCACTCTATACCATATGTAGGTACTTATAATTGGAAAATTATCAATTTGATATGTATGTGTACGTGTATGTGTATATACATAAGCGAACGTGGAAGTTTGCTCCTATTTTTTTTTTGTCATACTATAAGGTTTCTTACAAAATCCAATCGACTTTAAATTTCGTTCTACAAACCCACATCATATATATATTTGAATTATTTTCTCTAAATCGACCAATTCATAAAAACAACATTCCTATTTTTTTATACAAAAAATATTGATAATCTAATCTCTAAAAACGTTATTCAACATATTCAAACCCATAGTCTATTCCAATTTATAACAATACGAGACTGCTTAATCCGGTTCAACTCACTATATATTATATATATTCGGTGTATGATTGATAATCTTATATAGTTATATTATAGTTTGTTTTTGTTCCAAAATACATATTTTTATATTCAAAAAAACTAAAGAGCTTTAATTCATCGTGGTATGCAGAGGCTGAGGCCGTAATTGTCATTACGTTCATTTAATTTGCAGCCTTTTTTTGGTTGAATAAAACCAAAGAAAATAAGAGCGCTCACACTTCCCCATAACATAACCCAACTTGCCCAATCTCACGTAATATTTTCCCAACAATATTTTTTTAACATAATTATATATATATATATATATGTGTGTGTATTTATATGTATATTTGTCTTTATATATACATGTAATTAATTTTTTTTTTGGTAAAGTACATGTAATTAGTTGGGTCGGTGTAATCAAGACTACTTATGTAAAAGATGGTTTTGTCTAAGAAGTATTTGTTAAACTATCTAGTTGAGATTCTTGTATAATTTTTTATATTTTAATTCAGTTGTTTTTGTTTCCAATCTTTTTATTAGAAAGCATATATTTATTTAATATTTTAAGTAAATCGTTTTCAATTAATTTTCAATTATTTCCAATTCATAAGCTGTGATTAGATTTAAAATTTTACATTGAATTCTTAAATTATATTTTTTTAATCAAATTAGATGCCATTTGGTTTGGTATAACCTAATATAAATTAATTATCAATTCGAATATATACAATAATATTTGGATAATGAATATGCAATGCAGAAGATTTCATGAAAATGATATCCAATAAAAACTGATCTGAACTTTTGTAAAAATGTCGAAATGACATCTTTGGTGTATTTATACACGAAGTTATTACGATTATATATGTATTATATGATTATATACCAAGTAGAAACGAAACCCTAAACACTAATGTCAAGACATTTCGTCTTAAATAATCGGTCATTACACACACATTCACAGAAGCCCACATAGATAGATACACACGCGCGCGTATGTAAGCATTTTTATTTGTGTCTGCAGATGTTACAAAGAGCATTGATGGAGGATGACAAGTTGTTCAGCTTATTGCAAGCTGTTTGCCGCCATCACAACTGCTTTGAGCCTGTCTTTTCCCCTCATATGGTCCCCACACACATAGGGCTGGGCTTCGGTTCGGTTCTTCGGAACCGGACCGAACCGAACCGTTAAAACGGTATTTTTTTCGACCCGAAACCGCTGTTATTTTCTGAACGGTACCATTTTTAGAGAACCGAATTTTTCCGGAATCGAACCGAATTTTAAAAATTCCGAAAAACTGAATATTTTTAAAGGAAATCTATCATTTTTTTAATAAAACCCGAAACCGAGCCGAACCGATACCGAAACCGAACCGAACCGAATACAATAAAAACCCGATTGGTACCTATTTTTGTAAAACCAAAAGAACCGAACCGATTTATTCCGTCCCGAACCCGTAGCGTTTCCCGAAACGCCCACCCCTACACACATATATATATATATGTATATAATAATTTTTTATTATAAATATTTTTAAATATTTTATTTTTTCATCTCTTAATTTTTCTTTTTTTACCACAAAGAAATACGAAGTTTTATTTTGTATAAATTCATAATTTTGGTTAAACGAAATTTGTCAAAAGGAAAAACCATTCGATTAAATTAAGTATCGATTCCAAAAGTTGAATAAATTATAGATACAAATGAAAGTTAATAGAAAAATAAAAAATGTACATTTTCATACTTTGGTAGATGTTTTTGATTATGTTGTCTTAGTTGACTAATCAATCCGCTAGACCGCCAGCCACGTGGCATGCCCATAGCCATGCGTTTCCTCAGTTTATGGGCCCACAGAATCACGTTTTCTACTAATGGGTCTTGAGAGTGGGCCCATAAAGGAAAAATAAACTAAAAGAAAGGCCCAAAATAATTGAAAACTATTTTACTAATTATTTCAGTAATAAAATAATAATACATAATATACATACGCATAGGTGAGACAAGAAGGGTACGTCCTCACGTGTTCTGCGTATGGAGTCTGCTTTTTTAGTGCACAGTCACATGATACAAACTTACAAAGCCAATCCGTGATAGCCACGTGTCACATATTACGTCAGCAATCTGATGGCTCGAACACGCGGCATCTATTTTTGAAAATATGATTTTTACATAAAATGGATTCTGAATAATGAATATCATATTAATATAGAATTGATTTTTACAGAAAAATGAAGAGTTTATTTTTTTTGCCTATTAATACGAACTTAGTTGGGTGTGTAGGACTAAAACATATATTTTCTTCGAATATTTGTTTTACATTGTAGTTTTAAATTTTATATCTGAATTTTATTCATTTGAGTTTGATTCAATTAAAAAATATTTATTATTCCAAGTGATTTTTGTTATTGTTTTATTTTGAAATATTTTTATTTTAGATTTTTTAATATTAAATCAATTTATTTTTTAAAAAATACATTAATTGATGTATATCTTGAATTTGATTTTCATGTAATTAAATATTTATCAATTCTATATATATATATATAACTTTTACAATGATAATATTTTATATGGTTTACATACAAAGCAAGCACAAATACATAGAAACTAATTTCCAATCTTGAAGAGAATATGGAGTTTTTCCAACGGCTGAAGATCTTTTAGATAAGGTCATAATTAATTAGAAGTAGCAAAACCTAAAGCTAAAAATAGTAAAAGGTTAATTATTTATTTCTTTTGCATATTTGTGCATTTTTTTAAAAAAACAAATCGGCCTTAATCACAATCATTTGGTCAAACCCCTCATTTATATCCTCCGAGAATAGTAATTTTTTACGAGAAACAAAAAGTAAATTTATAATTTTTAATAAATATAAATTGTTTTGTTATTATTTCCGATATTTGGATATTCAATCCGAATTTAAACTATAATATATATTTTTTGCACCCATTTCAAATATCATATAAAATGAGCATAAAGTCTAAAATTGGAGACAACTAAACAACCTTTTTGGGGCCGACATGTGAAAGGGGCAGAAGATACACGTTGTTCTTGAAATTTGAATAGCCGAATCGAAAATAAATATGAATGAAAATCCTAAATGAGGGTTGACCCATTTTGCACCTACAAAGCTTTGTGTTTGACTTTTTCCAAATGCGGGTTGGGACCTACACGGATTTATCGAATCGTTTAGTCTTTTGAGAAAGATCACTCCAATTATTTATTTTTAACAACTTTTAGGTGCATGCATGATATTTCATTGCAATGAAATGAATCGTCATAGTTTGATATTCCGTTTATGGATATAAAATCGAGTTAATAATCCCATATATATAAACATATGTACATATATGAATATTAATCTCCGACATCATCGTGTGTAAAGGAAGATAACGCGAGTGCCGAATGTGTTGTTGGTCAAAGGATGCATGTTCCAAAATGATTTGCATGGTACCGCAGCAAAGATCCCGTTTCTTTGTGAGAAAAGCTGGAAAAAAAGAAAACCGTTTAAACAAAAAAGAAAAGCTGGAAAAAATCCGTTTAAACAAAAAAAAAAAAGAAAACAAAAAGGGATTATTAATAAATTTCGGCATGTAAATAAAGATCGAAACGGTCTTTAAAAACAAATATTCAGGCTTTGAATGGTAGTGACTTTTATTTTGGGTTTTTGGCTTTAGTTTTTAGTTTTTGGTTTTTAGTTTTTAGTTTTTGGTTTTTGGCTTTTGAATTTTATAAGTTTGTAAATCTAAAAAATTGTAACTTTTGGTTTTTAGTTAATTTTTTCCCTAAAGTAGATTTTCGGGTTTTTAGGAAAACCAAATTTTAAAAAACTTAATTGTTGATTTTTTCAGTTTTTAAAATCCAAAAATTCCGAAAACCACCTCTCATACAACACCATAATAATAACAATAACAATGATGGAAAAGAAAAAAAAGTAACGGCGATAAAAGTGTGGCAAAACATTCACTTGGCATTCCCATTGTGTCCCCTCACCCTTACCACCAATCATCTCATTTGGACAGCTGAACCCCTCCCACTTTGTTTTGTCACATATACGTATACGTATACACATACACATACACATATATGTATACGTATACATATACGTATACATGTACTTCCTGCAAATGGATCCTCATCCGACCCGACCCGACAAGGAACATGTACAAGGCCCATAAACTCACCCCGGAAACTCCAATTCCAATTCAATCATGTCGACGAAGAGCCTTAATTGTGTGTGGATTTATTCAAAGGAGCATATGATATGAGAATCTAGTCGACTACTTTATCATCTGATTATGTATGTATCATAAGAGTTCTATTAAAATATGGATATTCATTGTGTTCTTGGAGTCTCTTGTATATGTTATTTCAAATGGATATAATTTTTTTTTGATAACGGAGGACCTCTAACTGTTACCTTTCGGACGCATTTGACTAGGTAAACCTTCGATCCGGAAGCACCCAACCTCAAGGTGGAGTTACCTTCTATCCAAGTTTGACCATTCGTCCACGGTCTATTGGGTATATTTGATTTCGATTATTTTAGTATTCAATTTTTTAGTCTTATAAAATTAGTAGTCGTAATAGTTTTAAGTTTATTTTAGGGTTTAGGATTTAGAGTTTTAGAAATTAAAAATAATAAAAACGAGGGAAGATATGCACGAATATTTTTTTGATTATTGAAAAATTAAAATTGACACGTGGAAGGGAGGTACACGTTGAAGCATGCACACCGCATGCAAAGCAGCAAGTTTCCACGTCGCGACACGTGCCTCTCCTCCACAAATATTTTCCTTTTGTATTTTAAAATATATTAATTTCTAATTAATTAACCTAATATCAAGACTCCAGCCGCCGCACTGTACCGGTTTCTTAACCGGAAATATCGTGGTAAAATACAGACGGATACTGTTTTACGAATAAAAAACAAAAGTGAAAATCTGATAATATGATTTGCTTTTGAAATATTACCATAATAGATCGATTATTAAAATCTATTTATAAACCCTTCATTAGTGGTAAAGATTGCGTATCGTCAAGGAGAGATTACGCAACGCAACTTTCCAAATAGTTTACGACAAAAAAAAAAAAAACTTTCCAAATCTTAAATTTCCTTTCACATAAAAATGGCATGTTCGAATCATGATTGCATAAACGTACCGGTCAATCTCGTTTTCTTATTGGTTCTTGACCAAATATCGGTTAATGTCTTTGGCAATGACATTGGTTAAGTAAACCGGTTGGTTCGATCGAATCGGTAATTCACTCGAACAGCCCAAACACGGTTTGGAGAGGGTTTTCTTCTCCTGTGCAGCTCCCCACTGATCCCTTCGGTGTTCCTTGTGGTTTTTGCCCTTCTGCCACGACTACATATTTTTCATGTTCTCTTCTCTCCCAGGAATTAGGAAAAAAAAAAAAATCAAAACTCTCTTTATTTTTTCCCAAAATAGAATGAGAAATTCTCTGTGAAATTTCTCAATGCGATAAATTCGATCGAACAACGTTAACTTTCCAGATCGATTCAATCTGGAAGACAGAAACTAGGGCTTTTTTCAAACACGCATAAGCTATGGTTGAAGCGGAGCGCGCGCCAACTCCTTGGTTGGCTTCGGACATGGCGGTATCGTCTGTGGCGGCGGATTTCGAACGCAGTGATCTTCCCGTCGGTGATTCGACGCCCGATACGAGAGACGAAAGAGGGTTTGATACTATTCGGTCTCGTATACATTCACGGCCTCAGCTTGAGAAGAATACGTCGGATGACAGATTAGGGTTGACGGAGAGAGTTCTTTCCGCCGCCGGGGCTGCGTTTTTGTCTGCTGTCATTGTAAACCCGCTTGATGTTGTAAAGGTGACTCTGTTTTTTCTTATCTGCTCAGAAGAAGGCCCTTTTTTGTGTTTGGCTGCCGAGAATTTGTGGCAAAATTTGTCGGAATCTGATTATGTTTATGTTGTGTTTTCAGACAAGGCTGCAAACGCAAGCTGCCGGAATTTCTTACTCTCACCCTCTTAGTAACGCCATTGGTCGTATGGCGTTGTTTGGACCAAACATGGTATATGTTTAAGCCTCTGGTTCTCTGTTTAGCTTGAGATTTGATTAAAAGTAAAGGCTTTTGTGTGTCGACTCGATTTTGATCATTTGATCTTTCAGCAAACTGTTCTGGTCTGGGTTTGTTTAATACATGTGAACTTTTCCTGGATTCAGATGTTTAAGGATTTGAGGTGTTCGCCCTCATGTTCACGCGCTGGTGTTCATGGTACTGTATCCATTTGCCCGCCCGACTGTTTCCAGTACAAAGGAACACTAGATGTCTTCAACAAGATCATACGACAGGTGAGCCCAGTTTTATGTAGTGCAATCTTTGTGCAGTTAATCTTATTAGGAACCTGCAAAGCTCATAATGGATCTCGGTTTTGTCGTATTCTGTTTTTGTGATTGGTTTCTAGTTGGAAAGTTGGATACTTTTGTTTTTCACGTTGTGAGAAATCTTTTGGGCTGGTAGGATAGTATGAGCTATTTGAGGCTACAAGCTATTGCTCAGAAGTTACAATATCGAATGCCCTTTCGCATATTCAGATTTCTCTACCCCCTAACCCCGAGAATTGTGCAGGAGGGACTGGGAAGACTGTGGAGAGGGACTAATGCCGGTCTTGCCCTGGCTGTACCTATGGTATGTACTCATGCTTGTTTCGATTGACCCGCATTTTTTGTCAGGAAATTCTATTGATAAACTAATGATTTGAACTCTCGAAATGCTCTGTTCTCTGCCCAGGTCGGGATTTATCTTCCTTTCTATGATCTGTTTCACAATCGGTTGGAAGAATTAGCTGGCCGGCATGCACCTGTTGCCACTCCATTTACGCCTCTCATGGCTGGAGCATTGGCAAGGTCACTAGCTTGTACAATGTGCTATCCAATTGAACTTGCAAGGACGCGAATGCAGGTAAGTTGTTGCGTATGTTTTTGTAAATCGAGGATTGTGTTTGATCATAAAAAAATGTTTTTTTTTTCCTCTTGACTTCCTTATTCACATGATACCTTGCCTGATGTACTTTCTATATAGGCATTTAAAGAAGCAAAAGCTAGTGTGAAGCCCCCAGGTGTTTTTAAAACTCTAATTGGTGTTGTATCTGAAGTGAAGGCCACAAATAACCATGAAAATAGTTGTAAGTTGATTCTTCCTTTTACTTCAGCCTCGGGCATGGCAATCAGCTGTATGATAAATTTCTTGGATGCTAATGTATTTCCGATGGCATATTTGCGTTAAAGCATGACTGATTAACCCTTGCTTCATTAGCAGTCATGACTTTAGGTAAATTCATATGGATCGCGATATAACTTTACTTGCAGCCGGTAATGAAATCCACATTCTGATTTTTCTCTCTTCTTGTTACAGTGCAAAGGTATCGTGTTCTATGGAGAGGCTTAGGCGCACAACTTGCTCGTGATGTTCCATTCTCCGCAATTTGCTGGGGGACCCTTGAACCTGTGAGCTCTTGTTCCTTCAAATTACCTGTTCTCTTGCCATATTGTGAGCATTAAACAATGTAACCAATCGGTTTGAGACCAGTTTATAAATACATAGCTATAATCATGCATGATAGTTCAGCTCCTTTGCTCCTGTACAGATAAGGAAGAGGCTTCTCGGGCTTGTGGATGAAGAAAATGTTCTTGGTGTGCTTGGTGCAAATTTCTCCGCCAGTTTCGTAGCTGGAAGTATGGCTGCAGCTGCTACGTGTCCGCTCGATGTTGCAAAAACAAGAAGACAGATAGAGGTGTGTTCTCTTTTGCTACATCGTCATCATCTTCTGAGTTCATAATACACTATTAACTGTAGTAGGAACTTGCTTGAGAACGTTGGTTAAGAAGATACTTCTTTCCGTTCCTTATCATATTTTCTTTTTACATGATTTCAGAAGGACCCTACTAGGGCAATGAGAATGACGACACGACAGACACTTGCGGAGGTTTGGAGGTATGATTCTTCCAGTTTCCTCTGTTTCCGGATAACCCTCGAACATGCTGTCACTATTTCCTAGATGCTTGAGCGAGTTTCAATCCATTGAATGGTGAAACACCCATATCACTGGACGAGCCAGCCAATACCACCTTTACCTATGTCCCTAAACCGGCCCGGAAAAATCGGGTTTTGTCTAACCGGTGAAGGGTTCTTTTGTTGGGGGGACAGGGATGGAGGAATGAGGGGACTGTTCACAGGAATCGGACCACGAGTGGCGCGTGTAGGACCATCGGTCGGAATCGTCGTGTCTTTCTACGAGGTGGTGAAGTACGTTCTACATCGCCAGTACGCGTCTTCCTCCGGGCACACGAGTTGAGTTTCTGAAGACATGATCGACCGAGTAGATTCAGAACACAGTAAGAAGTTTCGAGTTCACGAAACTTAACACACGCTTACTAATCACATGACTCTGGAGAAAACCCAGAAACGCAATAAGCTTTTGGCAACTCTTTTTGTTGTGGATAAGGTTCGTAGGACATTAGGGTTTAGGGGGAGAAAAGGCAAAGAGAGGAAGGGTTACGTGAGTGTCAAGTAACCGTTATCTGCTCTGTTTATGAGCATAAGGGGATTTTTGTTTCGCGGAATTGTTGGTTTTTTTGCTGAGACTGTCTCAGTTCTGCATTTTTTGTCTGCATGTAGTTTTTTCATAAATTTTTAAACGCGTAATTCTTTTTTGACAAGCTTTGAATATTGAAAACATTATGCTTCTATCAATTTCATTGTTTTAAATTATATTTTTAAAAATCATTCGTGTATGGATTCAAGATGAGAAAATGTCATCCATACAAAAACAGGCTGGCATTTCGATTTTATAATTCTATTCTAGAAATGCAGTTAAATATTCTACCAATACACTGCAATTTGGTTATATTTTGAAATTTCTAAGTTTTACTTCTCCTATTGGATTTGTCAAATAATACGATGTGTTGAATTTGCAAATTTATGGTGTCTTTTAATTTTATTCACTTACCCAATTCATTGACTTCCTAATAGCTTAAATACATTGAAGTTTGATCTAATGATACAAATAGGAAAAAACCCATTAATTAAAATCGATCCGAAACACATCGTACGTAAAATGTTTAAACCGAACCGAAATAGAACCGAATTGGACCAACGCATTGCGGTTCGATCTAGGTTCGGCTTTGATTTAAATATACTCTTTTGCGTGGTCCTATCCCTATCTTCTGCAAACCCAATAAAAACAAACGGAAAAAAGGGACAAAATTCGAATCATTAACCGATTCAATTCACCTCTAAATACAAAAAAAAAAAAAAAGGGAACCGGTTCTATCTTCATGAAGATAGAACTATAACTCATTTTTATGAATAATAATTAAATAAATGTCAAGGACGAGAAGAAGAGGCATGGCCTCGGGAGGATTTCTTCTTCAAGCGTTGTTGCCTTCGTCTCTCGGCAAAGCCTTCGCTGTTTCTCATGATCCAATACCTCTCTATCTCCTCTGCCTGCCTTCCTGGGATCCTCCCCGCTATCAAATCCCACCTGCGATTTCTCGTTTTTAATCCCTAATTCCTTTACTTACGCCATAATAAATACGCCGTACACATGTACGTACGTACACGTACGTACGTACGTATTTATGGCTAAAACAAAAGTACCTGTCGCCGACGAGTCTGTACATTCGGTAGATGAGATCTTCCTCTTGCTCGGACATACTGATAAACTCCCATTCACGGCTACTCACTTCTGTTCATTGCCAAATCCAAAAGCAAAAAATGAGAATTGCGACCTACTTTTTTTTGTCGGAAAATCAACATATAAAATAGGGAAAAAAAATCAAATAATTAAAACCCAAGAAAGGTAAAATGAAACGAAGGAAGGAAGAGAGAGAGTTACACCTTCGGATTCGTGGAAGGTGGATTTGGGCTGCTTGAGACGACGGCGTCGTTGTTGATTAGTGTTATCCATTATATATGTATATATATTTTGTGTAATGTAATTATATATATATATATGTATGTGAATGTAAACTAGGGAGAGAGAGAGAGAGAGAGAGAGAGAGAGAGAGAGAGAGATCAAAGGGAAGACAAATGGAATGGAATGCGACAAGGTGAAGTGGGAGAGAGAGGGAGTTGGGAGTGCGTTGTCTTATAGAGAAACATTGTTATTGTTTTTTTTTGCCAACGAACAATCTTTCCAAACTAATAATTTCAATCCATCGCTTTGTGTGTGGTTGACCTTTTCGCTTCTTCAAGACTTGTGGTTGACACTCGACCGAGAGAGAGAAGTTTTTCATTGGAATTTTAAATGATTGGGCTTTGTTCCGTTTTCAACTTAAATTAAACAATACTATTACATCATATACATATATATATATATATAGAGAGAGAGAGGGAGAGAGGGAGAATATATATATATATATATATATATATATTAATGGTCAACAAATGTATAAAAAAACAATCTAAATATATAATAAATCACACCTAAAATCTCATAACTTTAAAATATGCATTATAGTCATGAAACCATGACATATTGCATGGAAGTACAGTTTGTTTTGTTCAAATCTTTTAACTTTACCTTATAGCTTTATCTACAATTGTAAATCAATATTTTTGTTACTGTTGATTATAGAATAAATTTAAATTTAAATATATAACATAATTTTATAATAGAACTCCTAATATCACAACCAAATCCAAAACAAATAAATTCAGGCAAACTAATATTTTTACAACTTTCAATATTATATTCCAAAACAATATGTGAGGTAGATAGTGTAAACTAAGGGTGGACGGTTCGGTACAGTTCTTCGCAATTGAACCATACCAAACTGAAAAATATGGTGTTTTTTCCAAATCGAATCGTTCAAAATTTCTGAATGGTAATTTTTTATAAAAATCGAAAATTTTCAAAACTGAATCAAAATTTTAAAAATAAAAAAAAAAAGATTTTTTTTTAAAATTTTCTTAACAAAAATCAAACTCGAATCGAAATAAGTACATATTTTTATAAAATCGAAAGAATTGAACCGAACGATTTCAAAACCGAACCCAGAGCGATGTATCGAAACGTCCACCCCTATTTTAAAGCCTACTAAAAATGATGATGGCTCGTATGGTCTTCCATAAGAGAACATTAGATAAGCTAAAAGTATGTATATGCATGCTAGTTATTAATTTTTGTTACTATTTTTGGTTATTTTCATCTTAAGCTCGATATGATCATCTCACCCTTTTAGGGTAACTGCCATCGCTGATTTCTTTTTTCTGACGAATTATCCACCGACAGATTGAATCGCATTTATGAAATCTAATAGGAAATTAAATGCTATAATTGCATTAATCATTGTGATGACTCGTTAAACATGGATGTATTCGATTGGAGAAAAATAAAATATAAATGGGCGGTGTCCATTTTAACTCTTTTCCATTTTTAATGTTTTTTATAAAATGATTTTTTTGGAAAATATTAAAATGATTTTTTTTTGGGATAAAAGGTAAATGTAAAAATATATTAAAATGATATTCAAATATGTGGTTTAACTTGTCTTTAAAAATCGTCCAGATCAATACTATAATATAATCTGAAAAAATAGTAGAAACTTTTTTTTAAAAAGAATCTGAGACATTTAAAGTACTGAGTAGAACTCCTTCTATATATATATATATATATATATATTATAATCATATAAATTGACGAATAAAAACAATGTACGAGCTGAATATATATATATCTATATATATATAATACACACCAAACATAGTGAAGATCGCTTCATTGGTCCAGTGTAATTCACATGTTATTCTATAAATAAAGTTAGGGGTTATGGGAAATTTATAAAATCATATTATCTATTATATTGATTTTTCATAAGAAAAGACGGCCTGGTAAAAAAAAAAAAGGAGTTGGGTTTTGATAGTGGGCCTGGTTAAGCTAGTTTTAAAGGTAAAAATTTAATCGTAAAAAAACTGATATAATATATATTTTTTCAGATAATTATTGAGGTTTAAACTTTCTTGTATCGTAAATCATATTTATAGGTATATACGAAAACAGAGAAAAACCGAAAATTAATAACACTATTTATATAATTTACAATTTCATTTTTTGAGTATTGTAATTTTAATTCCGTTGAAGTACAAACATTTAATTCTATATTTATTTAAAAGGATACCACAAAATATAAATTCATATACAATAATACTGGATAATATAAACTATGTATTTATACTCACAATTACATATCTTGGTAATATTTTTTGTTAAATAGAGGCTTAGATTTGTCCATTCAACTAACATTCCTGGTCGTAATCTTAGGAACCGTCAGACAGAACATCGTTACATGTACGTTATAGACATATAAATGTACGCAAGTACGCACCCATGCGTTATATTTCATATATTTTCTGAAGAATTAAATAAATCGACAGAATTATCTATGTTGACTTGTATTCGATTGATTTAACAAAGCTTGGTGTTGGTGGGCACCCACGGTCTCCCTACTATAAATAAAATGATGTTTTTTAATGCTTGTCTTTATGCAACATGCAAATATTCCATTTATTATTATTATTAGAAAAAAATCCCAAAAAAATACCTTAACTTATCAATTTTTATAAAATAAAATCTAAATTTTATTTTTTATCAACTAAAACCTCAATTTAATTATTAAATTATAAATAAACCTAAACTTTATAACAGTTATTGATAAGTGTAAATATTTTTAGAATTTTCCATCATCATCATCATCATCATCATCATTATTATTATTATTATGATTATTATGATTCAGGTATGGAAACGAGCCAATGAAGATTACCGTTGTATCAAATGTTTTCGTTGAACAGCAGATATAGTATCACGCCATCTTATGCATTGAATTTATTATACAATATTTGACTAGAAAGCATTAATCGATTAATTTGTAATGAAAAAAACAATTAAATATATTGAACGAAAATTGAATTGTGTATCTGGTACCACGTTACGTTTCAAGTCTAATTGATTGCTGGTTAAAAAAATAAAATAAAATCTGGTGCCACGTAATGCGCCAAATTAAAACCATTTATAACTAAATAATTATTTGAAAATGTTTTTTTTTAAATTTGGGGTTATTTGGTACTTATGAAAGAACTTAGAAATTATACAAATAAATCATATTTTATAAACTATATACTATATTTATTTACAATTGATCACTTGCTTGACGAGCTTTAAATTTGTAACCCGACACACAACGAATCCGCAAATATACCCAAGGACTTATGCGATTAAATTAGGAATCAATCGAAACTAGGAAAAAGGCAAAAATAAAGATGGAAATTGGTTTTGTGGTTTTTGGATTTATGGATAACTAAATGCAATAAGGGAAATCAAATAACCAAAAAGTGTGGAAAGACAATCAAATGGGAATGTTATGAGATTCGAGAGTCATCAATCATGCAAGGATGCCGTAAAGGATAATGGACTAAACATTTTGTTCTAAAATTTGGGATTCAAAGGCTAAAGTCGGGTTTGACTCTTTCGAGTCGAATACCCACTATCCAAGAGACCACTCTATCCACTTTCGCGGTTTAGAAAAATCTCGAATGCACTAAACACCATTGTCATAATCCTAGGTTAAGTTGAATCGAATTTCTTCGCATCTAACCACAACCCATTGAATGAATGAGCTAATGGGTCAAGACACCATGTTTCCATGCAAATCCTAACTCCAAGATCTACCCACAAGGTTTTCACAAATCTCTAGCAACCAAACTCAAACAAAGACCTCACCAAAATAATGAACACTAAGTTTTCTAAGAAATTCAATCAAGAGGGAGAAGAGAAAGATAAGCATGAAACACAAATTTCATTCATTGCAAGAGTTTGAAAGTATAAACAAACATAATCATGGGTCCAAAGGTGAATACAAGTATCCTTACATGAGAGGTAATCCCTCATCCCACAACTAGCTAACTACTCACTAACCATATTTAAACTCAAAACAAAACAATGACAAAAGGTGGAAATCATAAGAGAGAGTAGAAAGATGTTGTTGTGAATTGGTGCCTCAGAACAAATTGGGTCTCGAAAAGTTATAGAAACCCATTTGGTCTGATTTGGTTATTGAAGATGTCAATCCCAGATTTGAGAAATAGAAGCCCGATTAATCAGGAAACCGGTTCGGAGTGAAACGACGAAGTTTTGGGTTGAAGGGTAATATAGGGATTTCAGTTTCTCAGATTGTTATGAAGGTTTGGGTCTTTTAACTGAGCTTCGAGAATCTTCAATGGCGGTACTTCACTTTTCATTCTTCTCCTGTAAAAGCTCTGAGAAAGCTTGCTGGTTCTTGTGTGCGATGCTTCTCAAGTTTCTGTAAACACGAATCATAGTGGATTGTCGAGACTCTCTCGGCCGAGACGTAGGATCACACTGATCCGAACTCGTAAAATTCTTGTGTGTTCGTGTTTGTTTCTTTCTCGTTTTCTCAAATAGAAGCTGATCGAATCAGTAGGTGCTGGAAGCACAAGTGGTATCAGAGCATGGTCGAAGGCTGGGTAAAGATTCTTCCGTCAATTGGATTCAAGAGGTAAATCTGAATCTAAAATTCATCCGGGAAGATTCTTGCAAGTTCGACGAAATCTGCAAGATCTTGGAAGAATTTGAAGTTTGGTGGTTAATCAAGACTTCGGGACTCAAAGTCAAGGAAGAAAATGGCGTCAACACCAATGGTGATCAAGCTCGACGTTGAGAAGTATGATGGAAAGGGGGATTTCTCTCTTTGGAAAGAGAAAGTCCTAGCAAGCTTGGAGATGCTCGGATTAAACGAAGTGCTGAAAGAAGGATATGTTCTTCAAGAACGTAAGCAAACAGAAAGCATGGAGGTCAAGTCTGAAGCATCAAAGGAAAAGGTCAAAGGAGAGGATAAAGATGAAGCAACATCGGCTCAAAGGTCTCGGCAGGAGAAAAGTCGAAAGGTACGTAACCTGATTCTTTTGTATTTGTCTGATCAGGTTATGAGGAAGGTGAAGAACGAGCAACTAGCTGAGGATATCTGGAAGGTTCTCGGAAAAGAGTACATGAACAGATCAATGCCAAATCGGATGTA